ATGACAATTCACTGTCATAATTAGAACTCAATTTGCAAATAGGCAGTATCAGTTTTAAAGAGAATTTAAGGAATATAACATTCAACTGTTTCATACGAATAGCGATAGGAATTATACATTATGCCCCAAATATACTATTTATAAATATGTGTACACCTGTTCATTTTACTTCCTCATCAAAGACTCCACAAACTAACCAGTTCTCTACCCACTGTTGCCCATGACAACCAGGATTACCAGTTTATATTCAACAGAAACTCCATATGCTGACATTTTTATGACATGATAATGAAACCGGCCAATCCGCCAGATTTGACCATGTCAGCCAGATTTATGCTGCAATTGTTCTGTAGTTAGACACACCCCCACCCCAAAGGTACCCCTTGGAAAATTCGGCATGTGTGTTATCGGCACACACCCTGTCACTGTGACATACTGTCACATTGTAATGCTTGAACAGGAGCAAATAAACCTGCCCACACCCTACATGTACCTATGTCCTCTTCTCTTTAATAGCGAATGAGTCATAGGTACGCTTATGCAAACCAACAGGACGCACACAGACACAAAACATTCATTTTCTCTTCTGCAGAACTCTCTCGGCATATCTTGAGCATACGATGCCAAAGAATTCATCAGTATATCGTTAATTACTCAATTAACTACTTGTTAACTAAATAATTCATTCTGTAGCATATCATGTAGAGCTACATGACCTGCTGTGTTACCACGTAATGAGTTGCGGTTTGCCGGCATATGAAAAAGACATTCCTTTGCTATATCCAAATAGGATCCCATCAGATATTCCACCACATGGGCTATGGGTGGCTTGGTTGGTACAGATATTCTACTCATACATAATTTACTCTAATTCATTTCAAACTGGAAGAAAAAATTAGGCAGTTTCTGCACATGCAGCTAAGAGATCATTGTTTAGAGAGAAGACAGAGGAAAATGACCCAAAGCACAGATAATTAAACCCCACGTGATTTTTTTTTTTTGCAAAACCTGAAAGTTTGTCTAACAATGCAGTCTATCTAGATTCTAGTGTAATAGATGTGAAGGCAAATTTCTAAATGTGCAAATGTGTTCCATTTTTAAATGTGCAAAGTTTTTATAGAAATCCCACGAGTCTTCATACTGGGAACTGGAGGAAACTACTAAGTACTGACTTTGATTTTTCACCTTTCCTATAAAATAAATTTACAAATTTGGCTTCAGATAGGCTGCTGGAAAAAGGGCAACAGAGGGTACTAGACCAGGGACACCAGGGACAGCACACACACACACACACAATCACACACACACACCGAGCTGCAGGTTAATATAAGGAGAAAATGCAAACGCCACTCAAAGAGGGGAAAGGATTTGAATCCACAACCACAGCTGGGTGAAGCAAGGGTGTTATCAACAGAGCCAAACTACTATCCTCACATAAAAATGTCTTTACATTATTAAAAATAAAAATGTCTTTAATTCTTTACACCAATGACACCACTATTCTCAGGGCCTGTGTGAAGACTGTTCTGTCCTTTTGTCATGTAATCTATAAATACTCCCCCCAGTAGAAGGGTGGGACATTTCCATACCCCATGGACGATGCCATTCTGGCTGGAAAATTCTCTTTCAATGTGTCTCCCTTAGCAGAGGATCCTCAACAAGAAGCTATATGTACTATGAGCTGCTCGGAGGTAACACAATCGCAGGCACCCAGGTCATATCCTCCATGGCTAATCATCAGCTACGGACAAACGAGCGCCTCAGTTAATGAATCCCTGATCGGGTTGCTGTTCTCATATGGTGTGATGGCCAGCTTGGAGAATTAGGGAACGTGAAGCGTGCCTTCAGGAAAGTGGGGCGGATCCACAGGTTTGCAAGTCACATGTTTTATCCTTAAAGGAACCAACATACCGCTGAAATTTCTGCAAAAAAAAATCACCTGACAGCTGTCCAGAGCAACACAACAATACTCAATCCTGCTCTCCCTTCCAAACATGCGCCATGGAAAAATGCCAAGTCTTTTGTTTAGTACTATTGCATGGTCACGTCCTTTAATCTGCTACCTGATTCACTATTGAAGATCACAGTGGATTCACAGGTCCTGCAGACATCATTGTCTGACAACAGAAGAGTCCTCACGCAAGTCCATTCATGGTGTCTGCAAGGTATGAAATATTAGGGCAGTCATGGATCCACTTTGAAACTGTCTGCTTATTTCCAGTCCCAGAGGATGGCAATTAGGTGTGTTTTAAAATTCGCAATCGGAATAAAAACAGAACAAAGGAAATTACTAGCTTGCATACAGCATATACTGCGGTGAAAACTCAGGTAGTGCCACAACATTAGGCATGCAAATATTAGTCACTGCAGTCCTGATGGACAGGATATACCAAAAATGTTGCACTCCATTCTCAGCTGAAGAGGTCAGAGTATAATTAGTTTTTTCTTTTTTTGAAGGGGGGGGGGGCAGGTGTGCCCATAACCTGGTGACACATTTTATCAGAGAACTTCATCTCATTTTCCCACTGCCTCTTCCGGTGAGGATTACAGTTGAGGAAGCCATTATATTGAAAAATCATTATCAATACTTTTTTCCATTCTTTGATATTAAATAATAATTGATCCCTGTGGGGAAATTCCCTTTTCACCTCCCCCAACTTGCTTTCTGCAGGAGTGAGCAAGCTGGCGATGAAGGGCAGCCAGCTGTTATGGCGCCCAGGGAGCTGGGGGTTAAGAGCCTTACTCAAAGAGCCATGGACATGATGAGGCTGAGCTTAGAGCAGCGACCTTCTGATCACAGGCACAAAGGCTTAGCGCACTGAGCCACACACTGCCTCAAGGTCTTACTCTCCACAATAATTTTTAAATATATTATTATGTCAGTAATGGAACAAGTTAATGCTAAAATGCATGGAGTAGCAATGGTTGGGATGGACAGTTAGTTAAAACTTTCTGAAAATAACCTTAAAGCATTAATACATGCAGATGTTTGTATTCAGCATAACCATTGAGCACGCAGGCTTTCATCTTCTGCTTAGCAAATCTATTGTTGTAGTGCAGTCATTAACAAGTAATTGTGGGAGATTTCAGTTTCCAGATCTGTTGTTTTTGCTTTTTTGGTTAACACTATTCATCAAGGTTCAACTACTAAGTTTTTTCTGTTATCTCAATTGGATAGCCCCTCCAGCCAAGAGAACAAACATGATACTGTCCCATGGTGAGACACCTATTACCCTGCCAAATACAGTACCAAGGCACATTTAAGCTCTGACACATCTGATAAGTTGTACTTGAAACACAGCCAACAGAAATGTACTCAAAGCAGTCAAAATGTACATAAACACTGATCACAAAAAAGCAAAATGTGGCATGTTTGGGTAGCAGAGTCAGATAAGGCAAGCTAAAAATTGACTTCAATCAATGCTTCTAAATGTATAGAAAGCATTTTGAAAAAAGTGTCTATTTTCGGAAACGTGTCAGCTGTTAATGCTTCGGAATGTTTCCCTTGGCAACCACTTCCAACCAAACTCAGGCTTTATTTTGTACAATACAGAGAATGCTAAATGATTGTGAATGACGGAATTAAGTGTTGAGACGCATATAGGTTAATTTATATAATTAAAGAAGGGCTGGCTTTTTACATTTCAATTTGACTTACTCTGAACTAAGCAATGTTTTAAGCCTACTAACAAATTTTGTAAATCTTATGTATATTCACAAGTCAGTATTAAGTCCCAAACATTTTGTCATCAGGATGAATTGTTTAATTTCCTTTATTCATTTAAATGTTATTCAGTTTAATATTTTGAATGGCGTACAAACAGTGAAATAAATTACCATTAAGTTATTTTAACAAAGTTCCAATCTTCAAATTAAAAAGTACAAACTATGAGGCAGAACAAAATTTACATTAAATAAATTCCGATAAGAAAACTTTATTTATTCCAAGGGAAATCACTGAAATAATGGTTCAAATCGGTGATGGCTCATTGAGTGCCTATGTGATCTCGATTTCCCAGGGTTCAGTTCCCAGCCCCAGCTCTGACTGTGTAGAGTTCAAAAACACGAAGTTGATTGTCTGTGCCTTATGATGGGTCTGCGTTCCACCCAGGGTATTTCTTTCTTCATGCCACCTGAGATATGCTTCAGGCTCGTTCTGACACTGTAGTGGATAAGCAGGTACAGGAGACAGAAAGGTGGATGAACTTTTGCAGTTATTATCCTGATTAAACAATAGCGGTGCATGAACAAGATTATACCTTATACCTTATACCTACGTAAGTGTGTGTGTATGTGTGTGTGTGTGCGTTGGGGGGCTGCGGGCGTTTGTCACTCTGTTGTAGAATGACGGAGAGCAAGAACGGAAAAGTCATACTGTAGTTCTAATCGAGAATCGCAAAGAATTACGTGCCCCCTAATGGACACACTCTGAACTACATCTTCCAGCTATTTTCCCAGTACGTTGGGTAAAATTAATGTTAACTATGCTGACACAGGCAGCCTACTTTAAAACTCTTTCACTGGTGTATTTAATTGCCTGGGCTTGTATAGTGTATGCTAATGAGCAGTATATCATTTTTACCATTATGGACTCGGGGAAGAGCGTACCGTAGGAATTTAAATATATGCATATTCCAATAATGTGTAATACGGGACGAAATTGCACTGCACTCCTTTCAACAGGGGCGCCAGACTTCGCGGGTATTCCTAGTTCTACCTCGCTTAAGTCATTGTGGCCTGGGGGCTAAAATAAAGTGAACAAAAGAGGATAACCGAATTAATTTCTTTTGACTTAAAACCACTAAACCATGCGTTAATCCCATATTTCCCACCAAAAGTTTGCGCACATATATTTATTATAACGATCCCGCCCTGATGGCTCGGGAACTTTATCCGAACCGGATGTAAACTATTTACCACCAATCACAGACAGCTTTCAAATATCTGTGATACTATTGGTTGTTGTGAATTTTGTTCGGCAGTATCAGTCACTTTGATTGGTGTAGTGTGTGTTGACGTGGATTTGGACTGTAAACAGAATGCCACAGGAAGCTGCACAGAAGTGCATGTCTGAGGCTGAATCTTGATGTTATAATTTCAAAACAGAATATTGTTACGGGAGAAGACGCTATGACGGTAAGTTTCTTTTGCACATATATGACAGCAGGTGAAACGGGGTTTTCTGCAATATATTAGGTAACATTTGCAAATCCGCATGGAGTTATCAGAGGTAAAACTGGAAGTTATTCAGTTATCAGTTAAACATTTGAATATAGAGTAATGTTTGGTCAGATACTGGTGATCCAACTTTAACCTTATTCCCTGTCCAAGAACTTCCCGAGCTCGGATTTTCCACATGTATTTCCGTCATTGACATTTTGCAGCAGCCTTAAACTTAAACTGATGTCTCATCCTAGAAGAGCATCTTTAACAATCTAAACTCTAGCTCTCTGTCAACAGAACATTCAGAATTTACCAATCGACGTACAAACCAGCAAATTACTTGGTAAGTACAGTGCACTGGTGTATTTTATATAACCACTACATAAGTTTTAATTGATGTCCTTATAATGTGCTGTCCTGACTTAAATGTCTACTGTGTATTGATACGATGTATAAAAGTCTAGTGGTATTAATTTGATTTATCTTTTTGGTTCAACTAATGACAAGCTGATGGAGTGTCTGATTTTGTTGATCTTTTTAGACTGGTTGGTGGACCGCAGACACTGTAACCTGAAGTGGCAGGGTGCTATCATGGCCATCCGCGAGAAGATAAACTCTGCTATCCAGGACATGCCAGAGAACGAAGAGATCAAGCAGTTGCTCTCCGGATCTTGTGAGTTCCTGACTGAGAGCCTTTTTGTCAGTGTCCCTGTGAGAGCAGTGTCATGGCGTGCATGTGCCACATGCTTGCTGCTTGCAGGTATGCCACCTGTGACAGGTTGTCAGAATGAAGGCTTTCCTGAGCAAGACTCACCACACTAAGGTTCAATTTAAACTTTATTAGGGGTTTTTCATTTTAATTCAACAAACTTCCAGAAAAAAGTCTTTGCATCACCATTTTTGATTTTTATTACATTTGGCATGTGAATTTCACATACCTTCCAGAGCTTATAAATATTCTGTATAATTTTAAAAAATATCCTTTTGAGGCATGTCTCAAACCATCATCTGCTCAAACCAGCAAAAATCCCTTTTGAGGTATGTCTTCTACATCGTAGGTAGCAAAAAGTGATACTTCAGAGTGTTTTCTTCTGAGCTATAACTTTTTTTTTTTCTATTGCAGCAGCATGGATCAGATACAGTTTGGTCAAATTTATGGTTAGATTTAACCTGCAAAAGTCTGTGTTTCATTTTTCAAGGTCAAAGTTCATCTCACATTGAATTATTTTTGCTACTTTTGGTCAATAAAAAAAAAAACAGTGAATGGCTTGGAGCAACAAGTGTTTTTTTATAGTGAGAAAAAAATAAAATAAATATATATATATATATATATATATATATATATATACAGCGGGGAAAATTGTTCAGCGGATTGTTACCGACATCTGGTGTAAATTTCATGTCAATAGATCCTTTAGAAATATATTTACTGAGAAAAATGTTGACGCGTTCAATACTTATTTTCCCCGCTGTATATATATATTCTAAATCTAAGTCCTGTACTGCAATGGTTCTTAATCCTGTTCCACCTTGACGATTCTTGATTTGTAATTGAATCCATCCCACCCCTAGTGTAAGACTTCAGATATGTAGCCTGATATTGAGTTACCTTTGTCAAAGTGATGATTATGCATTACCACCTGATTTCAGATATTCACTATTTCCACTGTATGCGGATTGTTGAAATTCTGAAGGGAACCGAGGCCTCATCAAAAAATATATTTGGCAGGTATTCTTCCCAGAGGATGAAGGTAAGCAGACATGTTAGTGCCCATTCTGCAACATGGACAGACAGTGTGTTACTTAGCGGTAACTGATTTCTGCTGTCTTAACTGTCATTCCTGGCCTGTAGGACTGGCAAGAAATAGTGTCCCTTTATGAAAAAGATAACAGCTACTTAGGTAAGTGGATGTGGGGCATGAGGGGTCAAGGGGTGGTCTGCTTCTTATTCTCTGGTGGGATGAAGGGAGAATGTCAGGGAGATGAACAGGATTTAGAGTGTGGTTGGGTGAAGTCATATCTTCAGGAGGCCAAACGTTAGTTTAAAAAAAAAAAGGTGTTTTGTTTGGTTCAGTATGATCTTTGGTGGTGTTTGTATTTTTTCATACCATGATACCCCGTTATACATAATAAGAAGGTATTTGTAAAAAAAAAATAATAATAATAATAATAATATGAAATAAACCTAAATCGTTTAAGCTGCTGTAATCTCTGGAATCAGAGAGAGCCTAAACAAACTCATCAGTGTGGCAGTAGAGCACTAGGGAAACTAGGAGACAACTCCTTGCTAAAGAGATACAACGATCACCCTTCGTTTACTGGCCCCACTGTCCCTGATCTGCGGTCGCATGTGCACTAGGCTTCACGTATGCTGTGCATGCTCCAACAGTGTACAGCGCAGTCACAGCGCACTTAGTTTTTGTGCCATTAAGCTACACATACAGTTAACGCTTTGAATTTTTTTTTTTTCTTTTTTTACTTAAGTGAGGCTCCAGTCACTGCTAACAGCTGTACATGGCCTCAATACAGCATCTCTGTATCTGTATGTTTAATAGAAAGAGGAACGTCTGTATATTTGACGGTATTAAAAATACTACTTTTGGGATTACTAAGTACCAGGATGTACCTTCGTGCCGCCCCAGCCTAACGGGCAGCTCGTCGTCGTTGTATGTTGGTGTTGCAGTGGAAATGGCCAGCTTCCTGGTGCGTAACGTGAGTTACGAGGGACCTGCACTGCGCCGGCAGCTGGCCAAGGCACAGCAACTGCAGAACGAGCTCAGTCGGCGGGAGGTGGAGTGCCAAAGCATGGCCGCAGACATGAGGGAGCGCTTCTACGCTTCCTGCAAGCAGTATGGCATCAAGGTGAGGACAGTCTGCATGGTGACAGTGAGCATACGGCTAATATGGAACAAGGGAGCTCCATTATGGATTAGCGCTGCACTGCTGCCACTTCATTAGGGCTACAGTCACTATGTCACAGATTATTTTTTAAATTTAAATCTGTGAAATTGCAGTGTTTTCTCCTCTTTCTTAGTATGTAGTTTAGAGTACACTGGCAAGGTTTTTATGCATCTAGCTACTCAGTGTTGTAGCAGATATTTAATTAACAAATGCATGAAATCCTTGCGTTAGTGCTGAAAAGGTCATTTTGATTGGTTGCTCATCTTGTTCTGCACCCCTGTCCTGGTTGGCTAGCTGGCTGCTTGTACCTTCCCCTTTCATTGACCACATGCGGTTTATCGCGTTGCCGGCTCTGGTGCGGTTTGCCCTGATGGCGTTCCCCCATCCAGGGGGAGAATGTGGCACGGGAGCTGCAGGCTTTGGTGAAGGACCTGCCTTCAGTGCTGGAGCAGGTGGGCAGGAAGGTGGCCGGTCTGGAGGAGCCCACTCAGCTGTACAAAGCGTTCACGCAGTTCGTGTGTGACTGGTGAGTGCAGTGCACCTTTAACGTGTCAGGCGGTTCATAGCTGCATTCCTGAAGCCTGTTGGCAAAGCGCAGCACAAACACAGTGTGATATAGAGTGCATAGTGTGATATAGAGTGCATAGTGTGATATAGAGTGCATAGTGTGATATAGAGTGCATAGTGTGATATAGAGTGCATAGTGTGCAGGCAGTGCAGACGCAGGACAATTGACACCGACGAGTTCAAACAGCCCAGTAAACCCAAGAATGGTAAAACCAAGGTGTGTCCTACCGCAGGGACATAGGTTTGATCCCCATGAGCTTCAACAGTTCCGCATCGTACCGGAGAATAAATCGGTGCGTAAGAAGGTCGATGGCGCCGCCTCTCTCTGCAGGTCGGAGCCGGTGCTGCCCATGCTCACGTTCGTCCAGCAGAGGGGGAACACCAGCGTTTATGAGTGGAGGACCGGGGATGCCCCGTGTGTCATCGAGAGGCCCACCATGGAGGAGGCCCCCCTGGACACCGTCACCGAAGAGGCGGTCGGTTTGCGGTGCCCTGTCCCCTGTCACCTGTCCCCTGTCACCTGTCCCCTCTCATCTGTCCCCTCTCTGTTCTGCAATCTCAAGCCGTACTCTTTTTTTATTATTCTCCATACATTGTGGATTTACTATCTAGTTCATATTCCTGTACTTACTCTCATTTTTAGGTGCACTTCTTGTTTAATAGGTTCATATGTGTGGTTACAATCATTATTACAGGACTGTCAGGCTTTGTTTTCATTATGATTTAAAAGCACTGGAATCTCTGCACTTTCAGAATGGTTTGTGCTGGAAGCTTAAACCTAGCAGAGTGTAAGATGCTGGTTTAATATTTTTATTAAAAATAACTGAAAAGGGCAATTACAAAAGGTTTCACAGTCCAAATTAATACATCCTTCTCTAATGTCATTAGTCTAATAATATAAATATCAAATGTTACTCATCGTAAACCGGAATGTAACCCTCCTCTCCTGCATCGGACAGAGCTCATTTGCACCTGATTCAGGGTTTGCTGGACAGCCGTGTGCAAGTACCTGACGTTATGGCGTATATTTTGGGCCTTAATAGTAATTCTAGGAAGGCCAGATCTGCTCGGTAACTAAACATTAACTGACCTTCATTGTTATGTGAAGCAATCAAAATGAACTGATTATTAGGTATGTAGCATGTATGACCAGGAACATACCTCCTAGCATGTGGTCCGCTTTAGAATGAGGTGTGTTGATATTTGCAGTGGCGATCGACAGCTTGTTGGTGTGTTAACTTACCGCAGATTGACTGGAGTGCTCTGGACAGCCTGGAGGGAGCTGGCGGGACGCAGGCCTTGGACTTTGGTATCAGCATGGAAGGCGGCGTGGATTGGGGCGTAAGCTCAGAGCCCGGTGCTGAAGTACGTGGGTATAGCAGGGGCTGTTAGCCGAAAGCCAGTGATAAGATAAGAATTCACTGTCTGTGCGGTTTGCAGATCTATGTTTCACTGACAGTACAGCAGTGAAGCTATTAACTGGCACACTGTAATTACACCCAAGTTTCTCCCCATTTTCTCTCTCCCTCTCTCCCCTCCCCAGAGTGCTGCAAATGGCATTGACTGGGGGGAGGACACTGCTTGCCCAGTGGAAATCGAAGTTCTGGACATGGGTGCTGATTGTAAGTCTCCTCAAGACTTCTTTGCGTGATTTTTCCCTTACCAGACACTTGCTGCGAGTTTGTAAGTTTGCAAAAATTAGGGGAAGGTATTCAAAACTTGTCCACTAGATGGCAGTATGCCCAGGCCTAATCTGCAAACACAGACACTCATGAACGCCACTAAAAATGATGATAAAATTGACACTGTTGAGACATACGTTGATGTTATCAAAATATACGGTTATATATATATATATATATATGGTTCTTTTATTTCAATGTAATCTTTAAATGACAATTTGTGTTGTAGGCATAAATATTTTGTGAGGTGTAGCTCATTCACTCACCAGCTGGTGGCAGCACAGAGTCTGTGGAGCAGTCCAATGGCTTTTGTGTGTTTCTGTGGAGCACCAATAGGCAGAGGGCCAGTGCTGGCACGGTGCCTGTGTAGTTTGTATTCTGGAGGGACACTGGTAAATGCTGTGCTGCCAACAGGAACTTTCCAGCAATTAGGCCGACCTGCTTTCCAGCCGGGGTGTTAAAAGCCCCAAGCTGAGGTTGTAGACAGACACCTTGGATTTGTTTACACAATAGCCTTGCATCAGGCCTGGTCGGCGTCAGCAGAGCAGCTGCTACAAAGGCGGAGATAAAGAGAGAGAAAATGTTTGGAGGAGTTACTCTGTGACTCGTCTTTATTGGAACAAATTCGGCTTTGCCAGCTGGGCCATGAAATATATGTGTTAAAGTATCAGTGAATTCTACCCAGGCACTTAATGTGTGGTATCAGTTGTATCTGGACTCAATACACATGCTTTCTGTGGACAGTCAGAGTTACTTTTGTGTCAATCATCCTTTTTCTTTTCTTTTTTTATAAGAAAAGAACAATCTTGTTTTTTCTCACTATTAAAAATCTTGATATAATCGTAAAAGGGCACAAGTAATATTAAAAATCCTTACAATGTATATGTTTGATTAACCCACTGATGAGCCAAAACGTTATGATGTGAATAACATTGACTAAACACAGCGCAGTGGCAAGGTCTGGGATATAATGGAAGGGCAGCCAACATTTGGTACTCAGAGTTGACAGGTTTAAGCAGAAGAAATTACCATGAATAAAGATCTAGTGACTTTGACAAGGGCCAAATCATTAACGTCAGCAGTCTAAGTTAGTACATCTCTGAAATGCACCATTTTTTACAAGGCAGTCAGCATTATCTGCTTCACGTGGGCCTGGTCATAACGTTTTGGCTTATCAGTGTGCATCGCTTTCCCACTGCAGGAACTTTTTTCTGGAACCAAGAACTTCTGTCTAATTTCCTATCGCAGGAACTCAGACCAATTGTAGTTCCTCAGAGGTAGTTCCAGAACTTTGAATGTTACTCAGTATGCGTACTTGACCGTATTTGTGTTCTTGTGTACTCATTTTATGTCACCTGCCTTTGCTGAAGACTAGTTCCAGTACTAAGAACAGAAACACATAGGATGATGAAGATCCCCAGATGTCATTCTTGCCCCGCCCCAAATACCAAAGATGTGTCGGTTGCAATCTTGCCCAAGGAGAACAATCCTTAACTTGTGTCTCAAGTTCGTTCTTGGGAGGAAAGTTAGCGAGACCGTTCTTGCTTAGTGCACAAGTACGATCTTTGCGTTCTTGAAATTGAGAAACACCCCAATTTTTTTGTCCCAACACCCGACTATGTACCTTTTGCTTGACCATGAACTGGGTGGGACTGCCCCCGCGCTTGAGAGATATAGAGAGCTATTGAACTCCGAACTAGGAACTGTGTTCCTGAACTTTGGTGGGAAACTGTTTTATGATGCTTATACCATGAATGTGCTGGTTTGTCCATATAAAATTATTATAAATGGTCCTGTTTAGTGTTGTACTACATGAACTTTTTGTTCTGTCCCTATTATTCCTTTTACACTCCTGTTCCATTCATAGCCTCCGTAACCAATAACCTGGTCTCTCATATATCTTTGTATGAGTTACCCCAGCTGTCTTGTTTATGCCCTTATTTTATAAAAGTTTATTTCAATCCAGTGAAGACAGTAATGGTGATGAATGGTGGGCCGTCGCCATGGTGTTCGTAACCCTGGGTGCCCCTGGTGCTCCGGCAGGTCCAGAAGGCGTGGCCAGGGGGGAGGATGCGCTGTCACTGCTGGAAAACCCCCAGACACGCAACCAGTTCATTGACGAGCTGATGGAGGTGGGAGCTCCTCCGCCTTCCTCATGGGTCTCAGGTTCTCCCTCTCAGTGTTGCTGCCATTCGCAGTCGTGTCCGTGTTTTTTGCTAATGAATGCTGAGCCATGATGTGTCAGTGTGTCCCGTGAACCTGGGACGTGTCGTTTTAAACCAGAGGATGGAAACCAGTACTCCTTTGTTGCCTGTCCACGTTTCCTCTTTTCACTTTGATTTTACCATGCCCTTGTAGTTATGCCCCGACTCTAAATGTGCCTTGTTATTTGGTCCATGACGATGTCATGTTGCCTCAGGATCGTACCCTTTAATGTCACGTGACATGCTCTGCTGAGGTTTTAGTTGACCTGAACCTCATGAACCAGGAATGCCTGGTAAACAACAATGCAGTTGTAGTTGGTTAGCGCGTTAAATTAGGATGTGGATGAACTCGAGGGTTTGGCTTGAGCAAGACGGGCTAATGTTTGGGGGCTGGGGCCTCAGTCGGTAGAGAGTGACAGAGCTGTCACTGCACTGATGTTGCCAGCTGAGTGACGTGTGACTGTCCTCCCCCCGCGCGGATGCTGTGCAGCTGGAGTTGTTCCTGTGCCAGCGGATCAGCGAGATGTCTGAGGAGGGCGATGTGGTCACCATGAGCCAGTTCCAGCTGGCACACTCGGTCATCCAGGGGCAGACGCGGGAGCGTGTGCAGGCCATGCTCCTGGAGCTGCGCAGCCTGCTCGAGCAGTTAACCTGCGTGCGCATGCAGCATCTCTTCATGATCCAGGCCTCGCCGCGGTCAGTCATCACACGCACGCTGTTCCTGTGGAGATGTGATTGTGACTCTTCATAATGAATTTGTGTTCAGTTTTTCTAGGGCTGTCAAAATTAACGCGTTAATCGTTTTGATTAATTAAATATAATTAACGCATTAAATTAATGCGATTAACGCGGTTAATGAAATCGTGCAGTGCATTATGGGGCAAACATATAAACCATGTAAAGGACTGCAAGAGAGACTTTTTTTGTAGTGTTGTCATTCATGATCTGCTACATTGTTATATCTGAAATCCTTGTAATCCTTCGTGATTATTCTACATTAATCTGGTGATTGATTTTACATTTAAATATGCATTGTAACAAGTTTTATTTTTTGGAAGAAAATGTTTTTAATCATGAATAATACCGATTTCTTCATTGCAAAATGTGCAAAAAAAATTTTTTTAATTGACAGCCCTGTTTTTTTTTTTTTTCTTTGTTTAATTTTTTTCTACCTGATTTTAATAATAATTCTTTGAATTCTATTAAATAAGAGGATTACCTATAAAAGAATACCTGAATTCAAACGATTAGTACGTTTACTGTATTAGAAAAGGCAAGCGTCATTATATCTACATAGCACATGTAATTATATACATATTGTAGCAGCTCATGCGTCCTGTACTTTAAAAGCAGTGTCTGTGCGCTTTTTCCTGCCTGTGTGTGTCCCGCAGGTATGTGGGGCGTGTGTCCGATGTCCTAAGACAGAAGCTGAAGCAGGCAGACATCCTGGTGCTTAAGCAGGCCGCCCTGGCAGAGCGCAGGCAGGAGGCGTTGGAGGAGCAGGCCAAGCTGGAGCCCCGCATCGACCTTCTGGCCACCCGCACGCGTGAGCTGCAGAGGCTGGTACGGCCCGCATTCCCCTCGCTCGCAGGCCAGCCG